ATTTTATTATTTTTTTTTTTTTTTATTTTATTTAATTAACTTGAACCCAACCATGAGTAGGCCTTTCGTTTCAAAATCTGCTTAGAGAGAAGTCTCAATATTCTAATCCGTAATAACAATTCTTGTCACTGTCGTGCAATAATAACCTTGGTATTTTTTTCATTTGTCATAATTTTCTCCATCTATTAACATCTGTTTTTCTTGTGTAAACTTCAGATGTGTATCATAAAATGCTCCGTAACTACGAACTGAGGGACTACTTTTCTTCCGCATTAACGGAAGTCCGCCTTGAAGTCTTTAGCAAACTACCCTTTAAACTGAAAAACCTCATGCGCTTGTTAAACCACTGGAACATTCATATAGCCCAACGACATAGCAATCAACGTTTCTCAGCCAACTTTGTCGAGTCCTTAGTCATCTGGTGCTGGAAGCGCGCAGGTGCAGGGGACGATGTTGACACCGCCCAGGGGATGAAAACAGTTATGTGTGAGTTAGCAAAAGGTACTGCTATTAATATTGACTGGCAAGGTTGTCATTTGATCGACGAATATCAACCTGACGGTCAGAAAACGATTAAACATCCTGAATTGTAAGTAACGTGAACCTTTTAATTTTCAATCGTTCTAATACGTTTAGAGTTTTAAATTGATATCCCCTAAATGTTAATATGTATGGTTCTATCATTGACTTATTAATAGGAACATTTTTTTTTATTAATCTTCTTTACAAATATCTACGGTTTGATCTACTATAGGTCATATTGTAGTATATAGGAGAGTAAGAAAGGAAAAACATGATAATAGATAATTAATTGTATGTATTAAACATACATAAACAAATATATGATAATCAATATTAATTTTCTTGTCTTTATTTTTGTCCCTAAATGACAGACCCTGTTGGTGATGAGTTTTGTTATTAACTTTTATAAATTATTTACTATTATATTTCCATATGGCGTATGCTTATTTCTTTATGTTAAGTTTTTAATTACATATTATATGTGGTTGTATGTGGGTGTGGGTGTGGGGGGGATAGGGAGGAAGTGTATGTAATGATCATATCATCTAACGACTTGTGGTTTCTTTCACAGACCTCTTGTTTTAGATCCTGTGAATCCAACGATCAATATGTGTGAGCCTTTCAATAATCACAAAGGTACCGGAATCTCGTTTTGGCAATCCGTTTCACGAGTCGCTATGGATACGAATAAGCACCCGTTATTACATGACGTCACTGTTTGGTGATAGACCTTCATCTTCATAACATACTTTCCCAGCAAACACAAATGATAAATATTCAAGAAGGTTTCGCGAACTTTGTGCTTAGGTTATATCAGAAAATGACATTAATACAACGTTGGATCTACGTTAGCAACGTTATATTGTTGAAAATTACGTTATAAATACGTATTTATGGTTTTACAAAAACAAACGTCTTGATAACCAATGTGTGACTTTATTATAACGTAACATTAGCTTGGTTATTTTATAATATATATATCTGCATGAACTTCTATGCAATAAAGCTATTCTCTCACAACGAACACGTCTGTGTAGAGTGTACAGTTATTCGCAAAATACCAGCCAATCAAATATCATCTGTTAGATATCGGACGAAATAAAAGTTGTGGGAGAGACATTATAAGGATTACAAAGAAAATGTATTGTTAGAAGATCGAAATGTGTCAGTGATGCTGGACCTTATCTTGCATACAGGCTACATCTGTGTACATTTCCTACTGTTGGTTGGAAAATATTTAGTGACACTAATTATCAAATGAATGATGCGGGTGTGATTTATAGCAAAGTTTTATCAAATCTTTATATAAATTATGTTAAAGCTATACATTATTATATTTTTTCGAATTTTCTAATACAGTAGAACCCCTATTAAGGAGACACATTCAGGACCAAAAAGAGTATCCCGTTAATAGGGGTTAGCCATATGTTATTACACTTTCTCTCGTTTTGTGGCAGAAGAGTGTCTCCTTAATAATAATAATTGATAGGGGTGTACCAAAGTAGGGGTTCTACTGTAATTTAAAGCAATAATAGTAAAACGATGATTTCGAGACATGTGTTAATCGTTATTTACATTTTAAATTATTTTTGTAATATGAATGTCGTGGTGAAAATAGAACTAATATTGATTGGACCAGCTTCAATGCTAGCGGCAGTTTGGCGCAGCTGTTTACGTTCGGACTTTCAATCGTAAGGTCGGGGTTTTCCGCTGTGCAAATTCGCTTGTGTCCTGGGGAAAGGCACTTTAGCTACATTGCTTCAGTCCACCCAGCTGTATCAATGGGTACCAGCAATCTGCTGGGGACTAACCTGCGATGGACTAGTGTCCCGTCCAGGGGGAGTACAACTCTCATCCGCTTCACACTACAGAAACTGGGGATAAGCTCCAGCCCTATGAGCCCCAGTGGCTCGGAAAGGATTTAGTGTTAGTTAGTTAGCTTCAATTCCCAGGCGTGAGCAAGCCTCAGAGAAAAAGCAAGTCGATCAATAAAATGGAAGTCTCTGTTGCAGGTTGCCACAAACTTTCATAAAAGTTTAATAATCTCTCATCATATCGGATTCATTAATTATATGAATTACCGTAAATTATGCTAAGTACATCACGTCCATCCTAGATATATGACATGTGGACAACCAGATACCATAAAACCGTAAAAATAATATCAGTATGATGATACGCCGCATTGATTGCTAATTAGCATTACACTAGCACACAGGTGTAATCAACGCATATGGTGACAAAGCTAACAGCGCAACAATAGGGATATTATTAATCGGAAGTACAGTACTTAACTTTCCGATCCGTGGCAGAATTAACATTCTGACTATTCAAGATTAGGCTTATGTGTTAAGCTATTATTATCAATTTATTTTCGTTTTCTTAATGACTATTCATATTATAATTGGAAAATATAAACTGTAATAAAATTAAATTTTACTCTTCTAAGTGTAAGGAGTGCGTTTTGTTATTAGTACAGGTTTCCTTCCAATAAAGACCACGTGCGTCTGGGACCGAGATGGCCCATAGCAGCTTGGTGTCTAATTGGGGGAAAAATCACAAAATAATCAAAGGTGTACTCATCCAGGTCCACAGGAAAGAAAGTGGTGTTTAATGAGCGAATATGAACATTAATAGACCTTTCCGAAGTGTCAATCAAACTTAACAACTGACTAATCAGAACAGCGCTAGGAATACGCGCGCGTCTTACAAACACACGTGTTGTCCCACAAACGCACGTGTTCGCGTATGTTTTAACACTGCCGTCTTGTGGGACCTTAGCAACAAAATCCAAGGGGCGGAGCTTAGCGGAAAGGTCCATTGAGGTGGTTTTTAATTAGACGGAGACGTCCTGTAAACAAATTTTATGAACAAACTTAACAACTTAACTATCGATACACTAATTAATTATCATAGACCTAACTTCGGGCAAAAGGCCGGGTGATAAAAAGTCATGTGATAATTGGTCTAGCCTAAGGTAGCAACAAGTAGGGTGAAAAACATGGCGGGTAGCATCAGCCAGAACGTACCGGAACCCATGCCAATATACCCAGAAAAACACATGAAATATAAATTGCATTGACAAGAATCATTTGCCAAAATTGATTTTAGCGATCAGTTAGATCAAAAATTATTATTTATTTTTATCTAGAAAATTTTTACCACGTATACATTTTCAGGCAGATGCTAATGCCTGTTTTAATCAACTTTCCTGCACAATATTTACAATTTAAAAAAAGACAGTCCACATAAACAATATACACGTAAGATAATACAGAAAAATATTTAAAGATGTTAAAATTTCACGAATCAAACTCCATAAATACATTATTTTACAATAAATAGTAAAAATATCAACACAGCATAAAATATCCAATCCATCCAAAGCGCCAAAAATTAGTTCCCCCTTCAGAAGCGATTTAATTCTCTATACTTTTGAAAGTCACACCAAAAAGATGTATTTTCATCGACTGATGCTTGCTGTGAACGACCGGACTGCTTGATGTTACTTGTAGATTATTCATTAAAAAAAACATTTCCGTTTATCCACCTATGAAAATTAATCATAAACACAATCATAATTTTAAAGTATTACATCAACAATATACCTAAATAAAATGCAACACTAAAAAAAAAAAAAAATAATAATAATAATATTTTAAATATGATTTGCACCTATAAACAATATCAATAATTCACATTATTATTCCATTAGTTTATATGTAGAATATATATGAGTAAAATCGTACCTTGTTCTTGGCTACTGTAATGGAGATGACATCTTTCTTGTCGTCAGTACTTTCTAAATTGAATAAAACAAATCAATAATGAAAACATGGTATTCTAAATACAAGATAAATTGCAGTTGTATTATGAAATTATTACATTTGCTTTCTTTAGTTCATAGATCCATGTTTGCAAAATGCGCCACCGAAGCCAGTGTAGGCCTAAAAATACTTACGAAGCTGGGTCAACGAGACCGCCGTCACCTTTGATTGTTTCGTTGTTTTTCCTGTTCGCTGTATCAGTTGACAAATAACAAGAGAAAAATATTCACAAACAAATATTAAATCTGTTTCCTCGATGAAACAAACAATAGGCCTTTTTTTTATCTAACAGCTGTCACTTGAAATGTAACATTTAAAATAGGGAAATCATAATCACAGTTCATTCATTATGCCGAAATTAATTAATTTAAAGAATTTAAATTATTACTACAGACTAACAATGGGAGAAATATCACAGAGACTTAAAAAATAAGAAGACAATTCAATTGTTGTCATACATTAAGAAAAACAAGTATTTTATTCTGGCAACTCTCAATGTCGGGCACACGACCAACGCGATTCCGTAGAGAAAGCAACGCACGCAAAGAATAATGACGATCGGTGCAGTTATGTGCCCGGCTTAACAGACACTTCTGAACAAGCATTGTTGGACGGGCCCTCGTTGGGGAGAACTCCCCCCCCCCCTTGACAATTTGTCGAAGAGAACAAAATTGATTATTGATTTACGATTTTTATATTTTTACGTTAGACTCAATCGATTAAATAAACATTTTAAACCCCTAATTTGTCATAGTTTCCGGACCACTTCCGAGAAAATTTTACCGACAAACAAATATGCCCACTTATGCTGTCGTCGGGAGGGCCCTCCCACTTTGGGGACCTCGAAACCCCTGTTGGCAAATCCTAGCGCCACGTCTACAAGCAGATTAATGCAGAAATACTAATGTTTGACGCAATTATGTTCATTTTGTACAACTTGAAGTATGAATCGTTTTACTGTAAGAACAATTCATCAAAGTACTATTCGACAAAGCGATTATTTTGATCCAAAAAATATATGTTTGTGTCTAATACAGTTGATGTGTAAAACATTTAATAATTCGTACCGATTCATCAAATGTAGAGTTGAGATCTCTGTTGTTCAGCTGATGCTGTTTGCGTTTCCGCTCGAAAGACGAACGAACCTGGGAACATAGAGTAAAATGAGCAAGACTAAAAAAATAGATCTGTTTGGTTCAGTCTATTTAGTAATTATTTTTCGGAAATATCTTCCAACTCCAATTACACGTATGAACAAAACTTTATTTAATAAATAAATATTAGCCTAATGTAGGCCTTATATCAAACAATTCCTAACAAGGACTATTCAGCAAAGACATTCAAAACATTATCTACAAAGACAATGCAAACATAACATCCACAATGGTTGCCTCCGAACTTCCCATAACATCAACTATATACATCGCCACCTTTCTCCGCTCACTCAAAACCGTGCGGAGCACGGGTATTATGCTAGTTAAGTCTAATAGGATTGCTGTAATCAGTTTCTAAAAATAGTAGAAAATAACTATTTTGAAGCTAAAATAACTCATTGAAAATAACATTTACAGTATGTATCCCTTTCGTGACTTAGGCCTACCTCTGAATTCATCAGGCAGTAAAAGATGAAGATAAATAGGCCTTGGAGAGAGTTCAGGATCGAGAAGATGTACTGGAACGGCAATGTTGCTGAGCCAATAGCAAACAATCCGAACACCCACGTGACACCGAGAATGGGTAGGAGAACTACGATACCTTTGATGGTTGATCTGCGGACATTAGCAATAGAGAAACTTAATAACTATTGTAGCCTTTTAGTTTTATATTTTATTTTAATATGTTGATAAATATAGCACTTTGTACTGATTTATAGTAAAGGTAAAGGTAAAGTTAAAGGTAGGAGAAAACCCCATAACTTGCAGCGTCATTGCGTATGGGCGTGGTCCGTAAAGAGACGCTTAAGGTAGCTACATGTTCACATCATTCCACAACGACAGGGGCTGAAATGAACCATAAATCGGGGTAACCCCCTACTCTTACGAAAAATGCAAGGGTTATTTAAAGTGCACACGAGTCAGATACACTGGACCTCCATTTTAAGTCCTTATCCGTGAAGACTTGGTTCTACTAAACCATGGGCGTGGAGCGGCTGGAACTAGCGCCGATGTTAAGGCTGTATCTATAGCGGCGCTCCTGTCTTACCGCTCGGCCACTTACTCGCCCAAGTACTCACATTGACGTCAAATCACTGAGTGTAAAGTCGGTTTTCCACTAGGCGAATTTATTCGAGCGAATCACAAATTTGTGTCTATATACCTACCTGCGCACTTGAGAATCTCGTGATGAAAAATTAACTGCACATACATAGGCTAAAATTTTCGTTTCGCGCGAATAAATTCGCCTAGTGGAAAACCAGCTTTAAAAACAAAACAATAATATTTCAGACAATACAAAAGTCTTTACTTTGGGTGATTTTATGAAATTATGATCCAAGTGTTCAATAATATAAGATTATACAGTAGGACTAACTTGTACTCAGAAATACAACCCTTCTTAGCTCCCTACGCGGTCAAAGATAATCTAGTAGCTTTATGAAATATATGAAATAATAAAAGTGTTAACAACTTACTTCACTTTCAACATTTCGTCATCGGAGATACTCGCTGCTCTTTTGATGATGGTCACAACCCGAATAAGTATAAGAAAGTTAACCTGCAACCAAACCAAAAGATCCAAAAACGCGATAAAGAACTGACGATGTTAGTGTTAAAAATGATGAAGATAATCTGAACATACAGTTTATCAAGTTCTTACCACAATGACGAAAATAGACGGAGCAACAAACGCCCAAATCAGTCCAGATTCAACGTCGAGCCAACAGCTTAAAAGATATAGCAACACATTATAAATATATTTATATGTGTTTATCAAACATTTTACCACAATTTTACGGGTCTAAATATAATAAATTACTTTCAAATCTTTATGAAATCAGAAATCTGTGAAATACAATTTATCAGAGGTTTCAAGTTTTAGATTAATAGTCACATAGGCCTATGCCTTGAGAAGACAATTACCTGTTTTTGGTACCGTATCCATCAAGCTTTGCTCCAACAGAGGCTCCAACAACAATCATCGGAAAAACCCAGCCGATAACGAAGTAATAGTTGAAGTTTATGTTCTCGCTACCGAACACTCTAATTATCATGACATACATATGTATGCCCTCCACGAGCATCCAAGCAAACACAGACAGAAAGGAAAAGTGCAAAATCACGGCGATAACTGTACATAAAACCTGTGATAATACAATTTTATTCGTCAGAATACTATTCCAAAATGGAGGAGTAAACGCTATTTTGCTTTAACGACCAAAAAAATTTATAACTTCGGAAGAAATCAATCATGAATAGTTCTTTAAAAATGCCACATTACATATTCATATAAACTAGAGAAATAATACATTTCTTTCGGACGAAAATAGCATAACATGCAGTGAACTTCTGTCTAGTTCAAAGTCCTAAGAAGATAGGGCGCGCATTTCAGTATTTAGATGGACACTTGTTTGAATAGAGTATTTATTTCATGAGCATCTAATCTATCGAATATGGTACATCGGGTGACAGCCCAATTAGTGTACAACGGATATTGAGTGTATACTAGAGCAACGGCTTAACATCCATGCGAAGGTCAAGTAAGTTGCTACCTATAATAGATAGTCGTACTTAAAAAGCTCCCACCGAGTCCTGTAGCACTACTACGTCTACAATAATGAATCATATGAGCTTACTGGAGGTTCCGTCATATTGATACCACACAACATTAGCAGTTCAGCAACTAAAAGCGTCGCACACAAACAAATATGGATTTTGATTCTGTCCGTCACTCTATAGTATTTAGAAAATTAAAATAAGCACGTTATTCTGGTTAAGGATGCGAGACAAGCATGTTTTTCTGGTTAAGGATGTGAGACAGCAAGTTATTCTGGTTAAGAATGTCGGACAAGGAAGTTATTCTGGTTAAGGATGTGAGACAGCACTTGCACTTGTACAAGTGCTCTCATGTGAAAACATAACGCCCTTCTCAAAAGAGACCAATACAAACTAATGAAAATATTGGGACCACTGTGGAAATAAATTCTTTATTGGGATTTAGAGGGTTATCCCAGATATCAACATTGATGACCTGCGCTCTCAATTTTGTTTCATTGTATTCTGTTGTTCCTGTTTTGTGATGTTATTAAGTTGATATTAATTAAATCAAATAAAATGATTTTTTTTTGTTCTCATATCATCTAAAGCATTGTCCTATAAATCACTACAGTATTAACTGCAATTGCTATACTTGGGAAGGTTCCCCGATTTAACCAAACAACCAGCGTCGCCGAGTGATACCGAGGAGAGCGGTGTAATAATTTTATGGAGACCAGGATTAAGTCTTACTTTTTATATAAACAGTTTTGATTATTTTGTGTTATGTTTTTGGAATTAGAAGTTTAGCCGCCTGTGTTAATCTACTTTTAGACCTGGGGTTGGATGTAATGACGTGAACATAATTTTTGAAGAAAGGACTGGTGGAGATGGTGCCTGGTGCCACAATGTTTTATAATACGTACCCTACATAAGAGAAGGTAGCCAGAGCTATTGAGAGCGCAAAAATCGATACACCGCAACCGATGTACATTATCCAAGAGAGGGCGGTTTCATGGGGAGGCGGAGTCTAGATGAGAAAATAATATAAAATTAATAATAATAATAATAATAATAATAATAATAATAATAATAATAATAATAATAATAACATTATTAATAATAACAATACAATACAGTACAATACCGTAAAAACTCGAATTGAATCCCTGGGCTTCTTCTTTTATTTATTTATTTTTTTTTTTTTGCAAACTTTGGATAGGCTTTTTTTTCGAGATGGGCTACTTTTCAAAATGGGCTACTTTTCGAGATGGGCTTCTTTCCAAAATGAATGTTGTAAATTTTGTGATTTTGTACAATTAAACAATAAATAAGGTCAATGTAACATCATCTGTATTATGAAGTGTATTTAACTGGCATTAAATCACCTAAACTAATGTATAAACCATGTTTGTTTTTAATTTATTTTGTTTTCATTCATGCACATGTGTATGTACTGTACTATATCGAAAAGAAGCCTATGCTATTTTGGAAAGAAGCCCATGGGTTTCTTTTTGAGATGGGCTTCTTTTCGAGGCTGATTTTGCGAACTAATGAGGGGGCTTCAATTCGAGATGGGCTTCTCCGATATACTGGGCTTCAATTCGAGGTTTTACGGTAGTATAATGGGTATTAAAAAACACAGTATATATTATTATACGCAGCCTCCTCCACTACGAAAACACATAAAGGCCTATGGGTTTGTACTACATTTAAAATCAGCTATTACTTGCTAAGTTTATTACATTTATTCAAACAAAAACATAATAAAACATAACAACTGTACGCATTACCACATCGTCATTTGTAACTTTCATCAATACTGCGAAGCTTGTCGTGTGGTTACAATTACAGTTAGATTGAAGACTATTTTTAGCTGTTGACGTCACGCATCCAAACGCACTCCAATACCTGAAACAAATAATAATTAAGTAACTATATATACAGCCCCTCTTTATTACATCCACCGCCGTGGTTTGGTACACCTCAGCACTCCTCTTTGCTCTATAAATCCTAAGCACTCATCTTTGCTTTATAAGTCTCCCTGTGGATCTTCATCAACCGCCTAACAGAGCCACATTTACGTCCTTAAGCCTCCTCATAACAATCAATTTCATTATCTTCGAACACCCTCTTTTTATGTTTATCAGTACTCACCTGTACTTAATCAGCATCTGATAGTTCGGTTTTTCCCATTATTGTTTTAATTTATCAGCACATTATCCTTCACTAGCAACCCTCGTTTGCCTTAGTTACAGTACTTTACCACATCTCTTTTGCCTCCCCAGTCCGTCGTTTTTGGTGACACTAGGGAGC